GAGAGGCCATATCTCTTTGAAAAATTTCACCTCTATGGGATGAGATGATGAAACTGTGAATTGAAAAGCTACCATCCCTTTAATCCCACCTTGATCATTAACCTCAAAAGCAAATGAGTCAATACCAGGAAAAGTGGAGGAAATAGGGCGATAATACTTGGAGGAAAGAAAATTAGGAGAAACAAACTTGTCAAAATACTCCACACCATCAATATGTGATAGGTTTACAGACAATCTTTGAGGTGGATCATCAAGGGAGGTAAGATGGTAAGGCTCAGCTCGGCTATTGAAGATGTATTGTTGGGCCATCTGTTCAAAGAGAACACCTGCACATGAAGCTGACCCAGGGTTCTTCAATAAGGACAAAAAGCTGTCCCTAAAAGCAGCAGCAAGCTCTTTCTTCCGCTTCAATACAAGCTTGTGAGATATGAACCCAGAGATGAGTGTTCCATCTGGCACCTGTCGATCTATAGTGCCATAATATGACAGAGGGTTGATCTGTATTATATCATGGCTAGTCGAATTGAAGAAAACCGACAGCATCGCTCAAGAGGATTCGCAACTGGTTTCCATCAATAAGTTGAACCGTCATATCAATTTTCTGTTCAATCACATTGTCCACGTTGTGAAAGAGGCGTCTCACAGAGCCTCCAAAGTTGGTGAACGCTCGGCGCCATTCATCCAGGCCACGTTGTATTTTAGACGCATCACTAGAACAAAATAAGAGTCAAATCTGCATCTGGTAGGGGCAACAGACAGCTTTACTCACCGAGACAAGTAGACCTCCGACCAGCCCCAAGTTTTCATCACAAATTTACGGGAGGTTTGTATATTGAACTTTTCCCAGGCCTTGAAGCGGTGTTCGCTTGGTGACGATGCCAAAATAGAGTCCCAGCGAGTCAGGAATTTACTAGTGTCCATCGCACGATCCTGCTCATTGTTGATGTCGTAGAGGATAAGCCCGTCGCTATCGCTATTCAAATCTTGTTGTAGCGATAAGACTGAATGATCAGGAATCCAATAGACACCCTGATCTAGAAACACATAGCGAGCTTTCGGTGAAAGAGAAAGGATGGTACTTTTCCCGGCAGCAAGCCTTCTGAGAAGACAGTAGGTCAGATACATAGACTTTCCTGGGGCAAGTGTCAGAGTGAAGATCAGATTATCACACATAATATACACACCAATTCCCGGTTGCCCAAGAAGGAGGGTATCCACGAGTCCCAAGCGCTTGCCTAACTCAACAAAGTGCTCGAGCTCAACATATTCCTCGCGAATGAGAAAGCGTGGCATTGATGGCCAGGATTTGATATTATAGTTCAAGCCTGGAACGTGGTCGAGTTTGATAAATCTGGCTTTGACTGATGTCGACGATGTGGGATCATCGGAGACGGTGACGGACGAAGCTAGATCAGGGATATCTACTTCCACGGTATCAATAATTTGATCCCAGTGATCCTTATTCTTCCACAGGAAGGCGTGTATTGCAAAGGTGTTTCGGTGCATCAGTATATCTTCTTCCATTGAATGAAGTAGTCGCGGCCATGAGGGATCAGCAATACGCGTAGGGCTGCCGCTTAGCCTCGGACGCTTTCGAGATGCAGATCCTATGGTCGAATAAGCATTATGATGTCGAGAGGCGAAGTGAACAACAAACCTCCGAATTCCTCATCGATCTCGGGCAAAGATGCCGACGTTGTCTGTTCAGGCCCTACGGCTACAGTGGGTTTAATACAGCAGTCATTTAGTTGCACAATTCGATCTGATCTTGAATGGAAATATTATCACATACAGTATACCGGTACCTCAACCAACTGCTGTTGTGGAGTTGACTTATCGGCATCATCGGTTTCTGGGACTGTAGTGCCTTTGAGTGAGTCAAAGGAAACAAGTCGACAGCTAATGACACTGACATGATTTGGCTCGTACCAATGTCACATCAGGCGGTGTCCCCGCCAGAAGGACTATTGCCCGATCCACCGTTGGATCCAAGTTTCTAGCAAACCGGTCCCATCCGTCTCGTGCGTTCTCAATGTCCTCATACTCCAGAGGTTCAATCTGATGATAGGTTACATCCAGGAGAAGATCAGTCAGGTCATAAGAAGAGACGAAACAGTGGCATACCTTATATAAGGCCTTTGGTTTGGATCCTGTCCTGAAAAGTAGGCTTATAATAGAGAAACCGTCGGTGTTTTCTGCAACTCCGATCTGAGATGTCCCCCGGATACCATCGTCTAGGATAGTAATGATTCGCTTTTTTACGTATACGAGGAGGACGCAACGATCAGAGCGGGGTAGCACGCCTATCCAAGGGAGGGGAGTATCGATGTGTAGCCAAGGCCACTCGACCCCATTCTCAGAGATCTCGTCGTACGCATCTTCAAGTTCAAGAATCTTCGACAGGGGGTGGGATTTCGGCATCTATTGAAAACAACCGGGAGGGGTGAGATGAGGGAATGAATAAAATGAGAAACTTGAACGCTCTTACTTTGTACATATCATAGTGGTATACCGTAGTCGAAGCAAATCTGCTAGCTATATGTGCAGCAGCATCCTTGCTTCGCTCCGTAACACCCCCGCCTCTGTAAATAAAGTCTTGTGAGATCTTTTCAAATACCAAGACAAATATGGGTTGATTAGTGTTGGACATCCTCAGTGCAGTGGTTGATGATAAGAAGCTAGAAATCAAGGCGCCGGCCGTTTCCCGCATGTTGCCTCGAATTTCGAACACAAAGATATTCATTCTTCACTCTTTTATTCTCTAATTCCTTTTATATCATACATCCAAACCCAAAAGCATGATAAACAAACACAACCAAGGTTAGTGGCACAAACAACAATCACACAGGTTCGAAATACAATTCCAAAGCAACATGACTCTCGAGCTCAACCAAAAATTATAACCCAATCACTCCAACAAATCCCTAAAGACAAAATTTAGAGTAGTAAGCGGCAACTGTTCAAGGAAATAAAGTATTAATGCACCGTAACAGACAATTAATTACCTGAGGAAAACAATGTCAATAAATTCCGGTGTCTCATACGGTTCGCATGAGATGGAGTTTTTCATGTTTCGTGCGAGCAAAGGGTTCTATGTCGATTGACGATATGGTATGATCGAGACAGCGAAAAGAAGATGCGGGGGACGCGGGATGTGAGGGGAGATATCGTACAAAATCAAACCAAAAAGAAAGCGATTAAGGATATCATGAAAAAAAAATCAAAAAGAAGAGACAGGGAAAGATGAAAGAGCGGGAGAAACGATGAACGCCTCCAAATGAATCAGAGCAACGAATCCAACTTTGACAGCACCTCCAAAACCCCAGCGACCAACTCGAACCCAAGATCCTCTTCCCCATTCATCTCCTTCTTTACCTCCTGTATCAACCCCAACACTGCTTCCCTCCCTCCATTCCCCGAACTGCCCATCCCAATCCGACTCCCTTCTCTCCTCTTCGAACTCGCCGTCCCACCACTCCCAGCCGAATTTGAGCCAAACGGCCAACAAGCAAACTCTGCCAAGTAGTCGTCACACCTCTGGAACGCCGCTTCCCTTTCCTCATACGTCAACCTCCCAAACGCATTATCCAGCACACTAGCGGCATACGCTGCGATAGCGAGGCAGATGGCACGAGCAGTCCGCGCCTGAGTGCCTTCTTTCGGAAGAGCAGAGGGAGGGACGGCGGTTGTGGTAAAAGTGAGGAGGGCGACGAGACGAGAAACAATAGATTCTTTGGTACGCATATCGGCAATGGGGTGAGTTGCCATGTCGAAGAGGAGAAAGTTGCGTTTTTCTGTACGGAGGACGCCTTTGTCGACTAGACCTTTTGCGAGACGTTCTCGGACTTGTTTGAGTTGGAACCCGATTTTCATGACGTTCCATGTTTCGCCTATCGAAGGGGAGAGAAGGTGAGTTTAGTGTAGGAACGGTCTATTTATAAAATAGTGACATCATGGCACTGTGACAATACGACATGTATGTATCAGGACGTCGTGTCGAAAACGCGACACGACCCTCCAAGAACGAAAGACTCACCACTTAGCAGATCAATCCACGTATTCACCGCCATCTTTTCCACTCCCTCCTGCGCCTTCATCATCTTCAACGCCTCGTCCAAGAGCGTCTCGCCCGTTGACCGTTCATCAATCACTTCGAGGACACGTTCGCTCAGTGGGAGCTGACGACGATTGGGGTCCTTGACGAGGGCTATTCGTCTACGGAGAGCGAGTTCGATGAGGATACAGCCTCGGAGGGCGTATGAAATGTTGTCATTCCAAAAGGATAGGTAGCCCTGGAGGGGACATTAGCATGTTTGGTGTGAACGTTACCGAGAGCAGGTGTGTATGGAGATGGAATATATATAAAATACGAAACAGCATACTAGCGCGAATGCGGAAATGTTCATGTGAGACAACCAAGACAGTCAAGCAATTCCGAAGCTCCAAAACGGCAAGATGCATCCCAAAACCAAAGATATATAGAAGCAGGACAAATTAAAAACAAGAAGCACAGACCTGCTTATCCTTCAAGCCCAACAACAAGACCTCCTCCATGATGGTCAACTTTGGAGCTTTACCACCCTGTCTCACATCTTCGTCCTCCCTCTCCAAATCCCTAGGATCAAACGCAATCCTGTTCCCTCCCTCGAACGCCGAGCCCGCATGCGAGGTCGAGTGTATTGGTGTATGGGAGGATGTGCTCGGGGTGGCAGAATGGTTGGCACTGCCTGCATTAGAGGTACTACCGTTGGTAGAGAGACCCCAGGCATCGTCGTCTGGGTCTGCGCCGTTGGAGGTGGACGGTGCGACGCGTCGTCGGGAGAGGCCGCCTGTGGAGGTCATTGCATGAATGTGTGTGCTATCTATCGAGTACGGAGTATGTTGGGGATATAAGGATAATGGCCAAGAGTCGGTGGATGACAACACTGCGCTGAATAGCCTCTTTCCCTTCTACGCGCCGGTCGAGCCGTACTGCTGATTGAAGAGACCAGGCAGCTGACGGCAGTGTAGCCAAGTGGTTACGGCGTCACGTTTAGGTCTCTTTCGGTGCAGGTCGAAAAGCAATACCGTGATGGGTTTCCCGCGCGAGTTCGAATCTCGTCACTGTCATTAAAGTTGTCGCTCTTTGAGAATGTTTTTGTGCAGACTTCAAGTTGAACGTTATAGAGGACATGCGGTGTATTAGGCTATACAGTAGAATAAAGGCTACCGAGGCAAGGATACAAATACAAGCATCAGAGACATATGTCACGACTCGCGATTTATGTTCGCATTCAACGCCTGCAGCGCCGTCTTGATATCCTCTGCCGATCCTACCTCGCTCGTCAATTGGACAATAGTGCCCACAGTAGAACCCGCTCCACCACTCGCGCCATCCTTTTCGCCCGCTTTCCGAACGAGGGTATCGACGGCCCAAGAGAGGTACCCAGACTTGCTTGCTTCCCAAGGCCGCTTGCCTGGTTCGATTTGGTTCTGGACGAGATGAGGGTCCGAGTCTTCGTATTCGGGGAGCATGGCGACAGAGTCGTACATGGTCTGGAAGGAAGGTGGGAGGGAGAGGAATGTCTGAAGTTGGGGTGCATTGAGGAAGGAGAGGTGTTGGAGGCGACGTTCTGAACGGGTGCGGTGGAGGGATGACTTGGAGAGGGCATGTGTGAAGAGACGGCGGAGTTTACGTTGCTGTGAGTGCAACATGAGTGAACAAAGACAGAAATGAAGAGGAGATGAATGAAACGTACGGCATGGATCTTGCGTCTGAGACTCTCGATCTCTGTGAGCAGATCTGCCTCTGCATTATCGGGAGTGGTCAAGTCAAGACCTCGTTGGTGGGGTGCAACGACGGGTAGATTGGGGGGAACGGCAAAGATGTTTCTCAAGCTCCAGACTTCAAAAAAGTCGAAAGCAATGTCTACATGGGAGTAGAGCAAGGTTTGAAAGGCGACGAGACCCTGTTCGAGGTCTTGGGAGGGATCCCAGTCGTCTGCGCCTTTGATCTGTTTGCGGTTTTCGACCCAGCGGCGAAGAAAGCCCTCCATGGCGTCGACGGCCTGACGAACAGCATCGTTGGCAGTGTCGATGATGTCGTCGAGGAGAAACTGGGGGACGAAGCCGAGGAGTTCTGGGAGGAGGACAGAGGGGACGACCGAGTTGTTAGCAGACATTGTCAGAGTACTAGTTGCTTTGAACGCGACTGAACGCGTCGGTGGCTGTGGGCGTCTGTGAAATGGGGGACACAGCCACGTTGCTCGAGTGATCGTTGTTGTGGGCGGGGATGGAGAGGACAACGGCGAGCATTCAGAGTTTGTGTCTGATATTTTCCTTCAACTGTGCCTCGACGGTACCTGCCACTTTCTAGTGTAGAACTTGAAGAGCAGCTCTCGTGCTGGATCACCACCTGGGCTCGTGCGCGCTGGAAGCGGTGATTGATCTCACTCTGTCTCTGTATGGTCCTCGCTGGCTGTTGTCATCTGTTTTGATCTCACTCTCTCTTTCCTCCTCCCTCCTCCTCGTGTCCTCCGACCCCTCCCTCCTCCTCCGCTCCTAGCAGCGTCACCCTCCATAGCCCTCTTCATCCCTCAACACCCTAAGTTGCCATGACAAAATTCGGCGACTTTGCTCCCCTCTGCCATGACACTCCCTCCTACCCCTGGTGCAACCTCTTTTACCGCCAAATTCAACACCACCAATCCTCCGTCTTCACCTCCGTCTCCTCGAATCCTGCTACAGCCCCCGTAGGCATCAATCCCACCTGTGGAATCCCCTTCGTAGGCTCAAACGGCTCCCTAGCAAACATTGCAAATATCGTCGCATGTGCCTTGAGCATATTCGTGGTCGGCGCCCTGATCTTCCTTACTAGTCGCAGAAGAGCTGCTGTCGGTACGTCACACCTCCCCTTCATACTCATCGTCGCACCAACTTCATCTTCTTGCCCTTTTCCCACAGGTCGTGTCGAGTTCCGCATCTTTCTCGTTCTCTACTGGCTCACCCTCCCGCTACAACTCCTCACCACCGGCTCAGTCCTACAACAAGGCTCCACCGCACTCACTGTATTGACCGCCATCCATGCTGGCTTTGTCGCCGCTACCTTTTGGGCACTCCTGGGAAACGCCATCGTGAGCACACAGGTGGTCGAAGATGGCACGCTGAGTTCGCTTATCGTGAGTCCAATGCTTCCGATACCACTGCTCCCGATAATTCCCCTCCGTCTAATTCTCTATCCCCACAGCCGTTCTCCTTTTTCACCCTCGCCTTCTTCATCGCCGTCACCTACATCTCCCTCGACACCGCCTTTTCCTTCACCTCCGTCTTTGGTCCCTCGGATCCTGCCGACTCGCTCAACAACATTGCGCTTTTCATCCTCACAAATATATGGCCAGCAGCAGCGGCGGTCATCTATTTCGCTCTCATGCTCTATATCATTCTCGGCATCCTCAACGAGCTCAAGCCCGTCTGGTTTTACATTTTGGCGGCAGGGTTATTCGTGTTGAGTCAGCTAGACTTTTTCTTGTTGAACAAGGTCATTTGCAAAGTGAGTCTCTCTGGTTCCAGCTTCTTCCCGATGTAGTTCCTTCCATGCACCGAGCACCTAGACCTGGTGGCGTTTTATGGTTCCATATGGTTTCGTGTGGGCGGGTGTACTCATATTTTTGTCTACTTGTTTAGGGCGCGAATCAGAAGATCGATGGGTCGTTTGTGGCGACGATACTTGAAACCGCTTCCGTCGTTGTACTCTACTTCGGATGGAAGGGCATTACAGAAGGTCAGTCTTGGACTTTTTGGTTTCTCATCCCTCAGCTACGTCGACTCCCCCTCCGAATTACCGTCACCGTCTCCTATACACGATTCATGATACTCGAACATTCTACCCCTCATTTACCTCGAACATGACGGACCCAAAAATACTGACTCGTCTCGCCTTCTAGAACAATGGGACGATCAAGAATACGCATACTACTACGGCCGATAATACCCAACCCATCTGGCCCGCCTCTTTCTTGATCTTCTCATTCCAACTCGCTCTTCTGCAACCGTCCACGATGTTTTCCAATATGTTTTCCAACTGTTGTGCTTGTCCCCAACCAAACCAACCCTTTTTCTGTATACCTTATACAACCCCACACACCCACACGTCACCCCCGTACACTTGATTCATCTCATCATTCACCTCCGCCGCCGCCTCATTATATACGATATACGTTAACGACCCCTTCATACCATTTTGTAATAGAACATCCTGCATCCCCGTCTTCTTGGACATCCGCTTTTCCGTTCCTACAACCTTCCTCTCTTTATATCCCACCTCTTTTCTCTTTGCGTACTCCCGCTTGTTACCCTTCCTCATACAGCCCTCGGATTCGGACTTGCGGACCATGGATATCTCCTCTCCTCTCACCCCCCTCTCTCGATCCCCTCTGTGACGAGCGGGCGTAGGTTTGAGTGTGTACATATACGCGTGCGCTGGCCCGTCGCTTTTTTTCGTTTTCGGATTTTTCTATCTCTTTTTCTTTTCTTTCTTGACAAGTGTATGCGAACCATGCAAAAATTTGTTGTTTTCTGACACACTCTCCATTGCTTTCTTGATTGGTGATCCACCACCTCTCGTCAATGAGGCGATCGACATAGGGAGCGAAGAGTAAGGGGGAAAGGGTACTCGGGATCGAAGACTTGGGAGGTAGAGAAAAAACGTTGGAGAAATACGGTTGACACGACCGTGATGTGGGAGCAGAATAGTGGACACAGAACTGTCAGTCAACCTGGACAATCGGTTTATTTCGTTTACTGTTGTTTTTTCCCATAGTTGTATTACAAGCTCGTTTTCTTCGAATATATGTTTCGACAAAAAAATATCTAGATGTTCGGCGATAGATGGATGGGGACCGCGAAAAAATTGTTTGTATATACATAGGCTCAAGTCCGGGGGATTTGAACCCTCTACGGCGAGAGCTTCGGTCGGTATGTCTTGGTAACGTCTTGATCAGACGACTGCTCACGACTCAACTGCGACGAGTCCATCGGTCGCAACATGCAGGTGAATTAGCTAATGGACTATCAGAGTAGGACCACAAGGAGAGAAGCGGCACTAAAGTGGTAGTGGCTCAGGGAGCTCTTCACCTGACAAATCTCTCGTCATCAATCGCCGCGACCTGCGTTGCGTGAGGACTACAGGTTGTTCCAGCAAACATAGAAAAGGCTCCGCCCAATCGGCTGTATCCTTGTACTTCTCCACATATCCCAGGACGTCCGAAAGTAATACCTGAGAGCTCCCTGTGTATTATTTTTGGGAGCTATGTTCATAATTTCTCCCAGACAAGAACGTAGAGAAGGGTGCGGCCGCGTGAATGACTAACTACAGACGGCAGCACCTCTCTATACAATGTACGAGGGTAAGACCGCAAGAGTTGTCGTGTAAACTATCCGAGTCAGAGAGACATGTAGTATTCAAGACTGGGTAGTAAAAATTGTGGCGTACATTTTCATCATCATTCAACTTGGATCTGGGACCCAGTTTGTCGCGCATCGCAGCTCCGTCCGACTGTCATTCGTCGAAGGCGATGGTCAGAGTTGGGTTCATATACATACTACTCGCCATCACACTAGTACGACGCCGCTATAAAAGGGCTTGTTCGGTAGGCCAGCGCGAGCTCGCGATCACCCGGCGAAGGCGGTATCAAGATTGAAGAGGCGCGAGCTCCCTCTCTGTTGAATAACACGATCTTTTATGTTGTTCACAATGCAAAGCTCTCACCAAGGGCTGAATAGTCCTAGTTCTTTGAATATTCTCCAATCCATCATAGGCCTACTTACTAGAGTTTTCCAACACCGACTAGCGAGCGAGTTCATGCTACTATCTGGACACTTTCGGACACTCTTGCTCATAATTGCTTCCAATCTCTCGGACTACTACTCTCTGTATATATCACAAATCATCTCCGGCTTTCTAGCTATCGTAAATCGAGTCACAGAAACAATATTTGATGGAGCCAGTCGCTGCGAACACCTATTACTCAAAGTGACATCAATAATATTCCCGTTCCGTCACTCAACGAGACACCTACCTCAATTCAAGCCCGAATTCGACCCCGTTTGACAGGGTACCACATAGGCTCACT